AAAAATTTACCCGTTTATTTCTTCATCTATAATTTGACAGTCTCCGTGCGGGACACGCGTTTCTACATTTAAGCAATGAACTGCGTAGCGCCAGACATGAATGATAACTTCGTTCCGCATCATTTCAGTTAGCAGCACAATGTAAGTACAAACACAGTCCCAAAACAGAACCACGTTCAAAACAAAAACACTCCTCTACGCGTTCCTGCTCGGGGATTGTACCCATTACAGTACACATATCACGGTTTCTCTTCGTTTCTTCAATGACAACTTAACTAGAAAAGTGCACTCGCTATTGGCGAGCACTGCATAACCGAAGCGTAGGAGGAATAATGTACATTTTAAATAACTTACATTTAGGCTGTTGCCGGTATCGGAGCATTATATTATGTCTGGAATTATCGTATTTAGCGCTATTTACAGTATTTTATTTCTTCAGAGAACAGCAGTAGTAAAATGGATGTTACGAAGTACAAAAAAACCTACGGTATAACCGGTGAAACCGCGCGGACAAATGAACATTTTGTTGTTCTTAGAACCAGGCTAATATTTTAAGGGAAGTGACCCAATACATAGTACAAAATTCGCGTGAATGCACAAAAATTTCTGGTTTTGAGCACTTAAAAACACTTTTTGAAAATGACTCATAGCATTGTGTAGGCAATACTGGCGGGAAAACCGCTGTGACTTACCAACCGGAAGTTCAGCGCATAAATTCAGTTTCACGCCAATGTTTACGGTGTGTGTCGAATATACTGCCATGTAGAGTATGCCGGTAAACGTTACTGAATCGTGTATGTACGTGCGAAAAATTTCGTCGAAAACTTACTCTGAATGGCAGTAACATTCGACACACATTTCTACACTCAGGCAAAGAGTTCCCTAATTTCCGGCACACCCGGTAACTTCTTGGCATTAATATTTTCTATTTCGCAGCATTAATTTTAACCAGAAGTAATTTTTCTATCATTATGACTATTTTTCCTTAGTGTTTTCGTCTTGGTGACGCATTGTCAACTCTTGTTGGAGTTTCGGTTTTCAGACGGTAAGGTCATGTTAAAAATCATGTTTTACCTGCTGAACTGTCATGTTAGGAAAGGAGGTCGAGGGCAGGCAAAGAATTTTTGAGAAACAATCCTACGGGTCATGACTCACAGCCACCAAGTTATAAAAACCTTAAGGGCAAGATATATGGGCCAAAATGCGAATGACGTTCTTCTAAGCCGGCCGATGGGTGCGCCGTTTTAGATTTTTAGACAACAAATTTCGAAACTGCAGCTTTTAGGAAAATGTCAACGGCATTTTGCCGCGCGCGTTAGATCGCACAAGATCAACGAGCAGTGCGATATTTACGTACCAGACCCTGTAGTGCAATTCATCGAGCGGCTAAAGTATATAACCGCTGTCATAAGCCGTTAGTACAAAAGGTTTCTGTGTCCCTCCAGGTTGTAAATACAAGTGTGGCGGTGACCGACGGACGGACACCAACAGTTACATTAGGTGTGAGTATATACGGCGACCGCGCAATCGTGCATTTGATAACAAAAGTAACCGCGCATATATGTGCATTTGGTGGCGGTGACCGACGGACGGACATCATATTTTCCATAATCGCTGAACATGGAGGACCTTCGCTAAGCTTCGGTCGATTAATGTAATGCAAACTATCATCCAGTAATAATAGACAATTTGGGCAAAGCTGCGACCGTAGCGCGACAGTACGCTATTTTGCTATGCCTCTGTGGCATAGCAAAATGCTTCTATGGCGAAATGGCCGCTGCTGTCCTTGGTATTGCTACTGCCGCAATCTGCCCGAATTGTCTAATGCAAATTTAAGCAGTTATTATCGAGTATGTAATTCTAATCACAGGTAATTTCTCAGTTTATCGCTATTATTTTACAAATTTCCTGATTTTCCTCTGTCTTCGTAACGGATTAGCATCCCTAGTAACAGTCTCCCCATAAAGTATCACCAATATCGTTAGATATTGACGTGTTGTGCAAACACCCTGCTGGAATGAGCAATGAGCTGTAATGAACATCCGACTTGCCGTATCACTCAACGCTACTGGCCTCACTGTTCAAAATGCAGTCGAGTGAAATACGGTAAATGTATGTTAGAGGCAGAAAGCAGTATTAAATTTTTATACTGTTACGTACGGCTGGACCGTACACGTAACCGTATACGGCAGTACAGCAGTAATGTTTTGGGTAACTAATGTATGTATGTAAAACAAGGTAAATCTGCATTTCCATGAGGGCCTGCATCATTCACGTTATTTCTGTAAAAGAATTCCTTTCGTGCAAAATAATTACCTTCTAGACAATGGGGGCCAAAGGTAGTATGACACCGAAAACAATTGAGAAGAACGTTTTTCGGATTTTACCCGTATTCTGAAATTCTTAGATGGAATTTTTCCAACTTTCCGGGCTTACTTAGTGCCGGAAGCTCTTCTAAGTCGGCGGATGCGTTTGCGAATTGTTTGGCAAGCCTTTCAAAATTGTGGCTAAGATAAAGGGTGTAAAATGTGGCTTCTTCGTTGTCAGGAACATAAGGTGACCGTTGATATGGCTTCAGAAATATACGTTAGAATAATATAGCCACTCGATGAAACTGCACCGCTGTTAGACCTGACCGCTGATTGTCCTTGCTGGGCAGCGCACACGTTACATAATATTATATCAAGCAGCGTTTATGACTACTTCCGTTCATCATTACTACATCCGTTTTTGTATTTCGTTCCGTTTGTGACTTCTGCTATCATTAGTATGCTCATTAAATGTAGTGTACATAACAATGATAGAAATTTTTCGGTAATCAAGACGACACCTCGGTGTGACGGTTATTGCAAGCCGTGAGTACAAGCGGTCGATATGCGGGTCCGTTTTCCCTTTTTATGCCCAGTGGCGGTAACCGAAAAGCAAATACCATGATCATCGTAGGCGGTGGTGTACATGGCGTCATGTCATGGCTCCACGTGCCTTGTATATAGCGGATGACAGTGAGCGACGGACGGACACTGGCGGTACATGTGGTGTGAGTATAAACGGCCACGGCGCATGTGTGCATTCGTTAACAAATACCACTGCCCACATATGCATTTAGTGGCGGTGACCGACGGATTTTTTCCATCATTAAATTTTCATTTTCCATCATTTCTGAACATAGAAGACCTTTGCTACGCTTCGGTTGATTATTGCATTTTCTGCATTTCTGACACGGCGAGCCGCGTTTTCACTGCGTGCATCGTTCGCGCCTCCACTTTTCCCGGATGTGGCGGCAGTTGCTGACTTGCCGGTATTGGGAAGCGGCGGGGATGGTTCAGCTGCAAAGGCGATGGCGCCGAACCAGATATTAGTTGTCACTAGCATTTTTTTGAACACATTAGCGGTCGCATGTAACCTCTACATAAGTGCTGTCGCAAAGGTCAACATCGCCCAAGTGATCAGTCGGTACAGTTTGCAGTCTCCCGATGCTGGTCAAAACTCAAAATTTATAAGCTTCTTCAAAACTACGCGGCTCCAGCGCTTTTGTGGTCTCAAGCGGTTCATCGGGCTATTGGTACCTTAGGTAGAACCGTGGAAACGCGGAAGAGTGCGTATTAAGCTGCCATTCCACAATATAACATACATTGGCGGTAGAATTAGAATCACGACACCATGTTCGGTGTCCTGGAATTTTTTGTTGTCCGGAAGCAGATAATAGACGATATAGTATTATAGACGATATTTTATAGACGATATTTGCTTTTCAGCTGGCCACCCGGAGCGCTGATCAACAACAGCATATTTGCCAGCTTTCAGCAACCGGAACCGCATGGCGCATATTTTGCGTCCGCACCGACAGAAACGTGTTCCGAATATGTACCTGTCGAAACTCGACAGCCCACCTATCCGTGCATTCGAAATCTTTCCTACCCATTGGCTTGGAACGCAACACATGCTTGGAAAGACTGTGGTCATCTATGATTCAACTTATGGAATCTGTATTAGACATTTTTGAATAAGCGTTGTCAGTTGTACCTTTCTGATTTCTCTCCGGTTTAGTTAACCATACACAAATTAGTTAATCCTCACGGCGTACGATCGATAGCTCAGAAAGTTCAAAATTAACGATTTTTGCGCACCTATTGTTTTTAATTAGCTTGAGACATATGTTCAAATTGTGTTTTTAATGCTGGTTTAAAGTCCCTTCGTGTTATTACGTTAGGGGATAACGATTATCTGCTACCAATCGCTGAGGAAAAAATCCCAACCACCTTGTTGGAACTTAACCCCAATGCCCCGATCGCGCATTATACTTCAATCGTTGCCGCGACTGTCGCGCGACAAAAGTTTGGTACCGAATACCGATTGAACCAGCTAAATTTTTTCAGATGAATGTGCACTTTTATTTCGCATTTGATGTACCGCGTTTTACATTGTACTGTGCGTATGGTAAGCTGCTCCTTTTTCCATTCGGACAAACGGTAATATCACCTTACTGTCAGAGGCGTTCGTGATTTGGAAATTTGTACGACTAATCAAGTACATGGTATGTATCTTACCATTAGCGTTCGTCTACCGCCAAAGTAACTGCAATGTTGCTACATAGCACAAAGCTGATACGTTTATTAAGAAATGGTAATCTCTATCAGCAGTTGTTTTACCACTAAATGATTTGATATATCTGATTTTTTCATGCATATCCTGGAAATGTACTCAATGTCGCTATTACGGCAGTAGCCACTGCCGCAGCTGGCGCAGCCGTAAGTAACTATGAATTACTGTAATGATTCTGTTTTCCGTTACCGAATTTCTTATCCTTATTAACAAATAAGAAGTGCCAGGAACTAGGAAGAAATTGTTGCAGTCTATGAAAAGTACACCGAAAAACGCTCTACTCAAAACGAGCTCCAGGACTAGTCTTAGGCGGCCCTCGTAGCCAACACGACTGTTCTCTGTTAGTTACGAAGAAAGGACGAATTCACAGACACATTACACCGTAGTAAGGCCCACAATTTAATCAAATCAAAACACACAATGATCACGTTAATTACCGCAAATTAAGCGTCGCGTATTACAAAAAACCAACATTAAAATTCAGGAATTTCATCAACACACAGTATCATCAAACATGCAGTTAATAAACGATTAACAGGTACACAGGATAGTGCTGATTTAAGGAGTGCTGTGACCCACGCAAATATGGCGACTAAACACGTACATATGCCGGTACAAATACGACTATAAAACAAACACTACTAAAAGTTAGAAACAGCGGCTAATAACAATCGACGAAATGTCCCGCTACAACTTTGGCTGTAACGCAGAGGCCTTGATAATCCCGACGTGCGATCCCATTACAAAAACACAGTCCCGACGTGCTCACATCCCACGCGGACACCCCAGGTGGTGACGGGATACACCCGATAATATTCCCTGAAAAAGCAAAAGCAATCAGACAATTTACCAACAGGGTAATCAGGTACTAAAGTACAAGGTGCGCTTATTCATATAGCTCAATCTGGCGCGGTACGTAAGCACCATGTTTAGTCACAACATCAAACTCCAGCCGGCTGACGGCAGTAAGTACAGGAGATTCAAGCGTCAACGTATGATACACCACACTGTGATAAACACATTACCAGTCTACGCAGTTTTCCAGGTAGACTGGTAGAAATAATCGATCTTACACCGCAATTCACACTTACCGCTCCTGGGCAGCCGCTTGGACACTGGTCCCGGGCAGCAAACGGAAAACAATGTGATCCCGTCCGTGTTCTCCCACTCCAGGGTAGAACCGAGGGTTAACAGCGAAATTAATGAAGGCACCGAAGTATTCGTGTCCATGCAGGAGGGTCAGCACGGAATTCGCATCGGGTGGCGGAACAGACTGCCAGTTGATGCCGCGAATGGCATGAAAGGGACCCGGCTCTCGGTATGCATCCCTGCGGTCTGCAAAGCGAATAAAAAACATTGAAATTAACGATTAAAAAATTTCAAAATTTCCGTTCAGCTGCTTTTAATTTATGAATGTCTGATTAAGGAGCGAAGTGCCTCAGTTAGCTAGGGTTGGCGAATATTTGGTTGGTTAGCTAGATTGCTTGCACATATCGGCACCTTCATTCTCGATTGTGTCGGGAAAGGCTGTATAATTCATTAATTTGCTTAATTTAAGCTTAATGCGGGAACAATAAAATTACTGGAAGTTCTAATAATTACATTGCAAATTTTTGGCAAGTATTCACTTCCCATAAACAAAATTTTTATTTAAAAATGAATTTGTTGTTGCACGACATGTAGAGAATGTGCTTACCCAGTTGAAATCTAATCTGACGAGGTTCCGGAAGCTCACGTCGCCCTTGTGGCTGCCCGGCTCCGCCACCTCCACCGCAATGATTCTCTCCATTCCCACCGCCGCGACCGTGCCACATATTGCCCGCACCACGCCCCGGTCCGGCTATGACATGTACCGCGCCGCCACCACCGCATCCCGCATTGCCGTTACCTCCAGCGACGCCGCTCCAGGTTCGGCCACTGCCATGCTGGTTGTGATGCCCGTCGTTGGAGCGCCGGGCCAACAGCTTCATCACCGAGCGCTCGTCTTCAAACAGCAGGTACAGGTGTCCTTTAAAAAAAATCAAAGAATGCTAAATTCACTGCGGCAACTGATGGAATACAATGTCATGTCGCGACGACGCGAAGTTTTCAAAAATAATTCAAACGGTTTCGTAAAATTATACAATCAAGACCGAATCGCGGGCCAGATTTAATCCGAAAATATTATTAAATTATCTGCAACAGAAACGAACCTTCTACCGGCTGTTCTAATTGCGTTGGACGTTTACGATAAAGAAGAAAATTATTAAACGTTTCTGTATAAAATCAAAACAACCGAATGCATGTACGACTACATGCTTTACGCAAATTCATTCAGTTTTAAAATATTTTTAAAAATAATATGTGCTTTATATTTTAATAACGGAACACATTAATATTAACCATGCATTCCTCTACGATTGATAAATAACTTTTCATATTACTCCGCACATTTGTGATTTTTTCTCACCTTTTGGACGCTGCGTTGAAGAGTGGTCGTGCACACCCGGCCATTCCACGCGCAGTGGGCCAAAAACCCCGAACGTTTTCTGCAGGTCCGTTTCCGTGATATCCCACGGCACACCACCCAAAAATACCTGAAACAAATGTGCACTGTGTTACACAAGAACGTAAACATCAGTTCATCGCAATCGAGCAAAAGCAAAAGGAAATGGTATCTGAAGTACAGACTGTAATTGAAGCAGAGAAATTTCCGTACACGACGCTAATAAAACTATGACGGTGAACAGAATTGATACGGCTCGAGCACAGTTTATTAGGAGAAAGACAGAAAGTATAAAGCGAACGCTAAAATATATCACGCGGCTGGTTACGTCACCGTACTACTGCTACTCCGATCTGCATTAGACTACAGAGATTTTGAGATATCAGCACAGTTTATCAGCAATCTTTACCTTGCAGAACGGCGAGCTTGTGCCACAGTTCCGCGGTGGCTGCGCCACGCTCCAGACCACATGACTGTTCCCGGGATCCCGCAAGATGGCCAGTCGAGCTGCACGGGAGCTGCTGGGAATTCCACGGTTGAATCGCCCCAGCGGAGTCAGCGGAGGAGGCAGCATCACGGGCACGCCACGTTCCAGCGTCGGACTAGGAGACGGATTGGCCCAGGTTCCGAATTCCAGTCGAGAATGATGGGGCGGAGAACTGACCAGAAGGGACCGGGAAGCGATGGAGGAAGGGGAGTCGAAAGACATATCCCGAATGGAATCCAGACCAGTGAAAAAGGAGTTGGCCATCTGCGCCATGATGTATACTCTGCTGGACAAAGACGTTCAAACACGAATTAAAATAAAAATCACAAACTGAAACCGTTTACTGGTTTCAGTGGAAACCTAATCGTTATGATGATTGTGTATCAACATTTCAAAACAATAGAAAATTTTCAGGTCAGCGACTAGACAAACAGGAATTTGTCGTTAACCAAAATAAATGGATACTGATCGTGAGATCACGCTATGACGGAATGGAGAACGGTGGCGATCTGCATCAGAGATAACGGATTTTCCGCGAAATCAACGAGCGCCTGCGCACGTGATACTGGGGCGGATAAAAACCAATTGAGACGTACTACCGGTGGTCAGGCACAACGTGGAACCGTACGTACAAGCGTTTAACTGACCGGTTCACTATTTGCTTTTCAAATTAGCATGTGCCATGTACCGTACGTTGCGTACCTTTGAACACTTTTTGAACTGCGGTCAACGCGCAGCACACTGAAGAGATGCGGAGTTCAGCCGATACCATTAATTTTATACCAGTAGTTTAGTACGTACCAGACCTGGGCAGTTAATTTTAACTATTTAACTTAACGCGAGTTATTTTCGAGTTATTGAGTTATAACTTAACTCTTTAGCGTAACTCGCCCAGAAGAAAACTTAACTCTAACTCAGCTCTCATAAAAATACTATATATTGTCTATGGCAGCTTAACTCGCGGTGTAACTCGAAACTCGGTTTTCCTGCATAAATAACTTAACTCTTAGCGTAACTCGAAAGCTCCCCGTAACTCTTAACTCTAACTGTGGGCCAATTTTCTATAACTGCCCAGGTCTGGTACGTACGATGTACTAGCGCATTTATTAATCGTAATTAGTATGTTGTACGGAATTTTGTATAGAACTATAACTTTGTTTTGTTTCAATTACTGCAGTACTGAATTTACTTATAGCGTCAACATTTTCTGTTCAACGACAACAGATCCTGAAGGAACGTTGAAATCTCGCAATTAATGAAGCAGCAGCAAGATGAAACCATATTTACTTAATTGTGTACGAGACTACGAGTACAGGAGCCGAAAATATACACAACAATCAAACCGTTAAGTACAAATTGAAATCTGTATTAAAAATTTACAATCATATGATTCATATCCACAAATCAGTAAAAAGAAAAATGTTCAAATAAATATCACAGACGTGTGTTAATCACCAACATGGTGTTTTTCTTGTGTTGTCAATAACAGTGCGGCGGCCAAAGTTTACGGTCCAGTTTTGAGCAATCTGACGTCATTAGCGAGTGATGCCATGTTAGGCTCGATAAAACAGCAATAATATCGTGAATATGGATAGTTACCAAATGGGGTAAACCGGAAATATCCGCCAGGCTCCTGAATACGCCGCGGTACACACTGCGAATTCGGTGACGTTGAACAGGTCGACTGTGGAGAGACCAGGGGGTGTCGAGCACTGGTTGGGAATTCTGCTCATTCTAACGAAACCGCTCCTGTTGTCCATTTGATAGGTCCGTTGAGAAAGCAGAAAACATCAAAATCAACTTTGATATTAATTTTAATAAAGAAGAAATTAATAAGAAATTTATTAATTAAAAGATACTAAGGAAATACAAAGCAACGCTAGTGGAAACGATGACAAAATCACAATAAACAGATAATATCAAAATCAGTATCACGAGGCAAGCACGAACGCATAGGTTAATAATTAAGTTCTCCTTACACTCGTCCGGTTTTTAAAACAAAAAAATACAAACTTAAAGGATGTGTCAACGTTTAGGTAGAAAATCCTGCAACAATTATCTGTATTGTAGCAGTGTAACTTCCATCGCCCATCAGCTTCAAATCGCGCCATCACACTACGAAAAAAGCAGGAGTTATTGCATCAAAATTTACACATAAACGTTCACTTACAAAACAACAAACGCAGAAAAGTAATTAACGTAACGTTGAAAAGCAGAAAATGATCGAATTAACGGAGCAAAACTCAAATCGTCTGTTACAACTATTAATGACAAAAATAAAAGAAATTAGTTAATAAAAGGTATTAATCAAACACAAAAAACTCGGAAGGAAAATTATGTAAAAGTATTAACATCAAGAATGATTCGACATCAGAATTGTGAAATAAACACGAGTAAATTAATTTTTACTCCGATATGCTCGGCTCATTTTATGAAGAAAAAATCACGTTTAAACAAGGTATTAGTTTACAATCTTTACCTACCAGTAGAAGTTAGAACTTCTTTCACCATTGACCCTATCGTGATGCCAGCATGAAATTGCGCCATTGCACTACGATGTCCATCTAACAGAACCGAAGACTTGCCGTAAAGGAGAAGGAATGAGAAAAATGCACTGTAAAATTAACCATTCTGTATGCTCGGCCAACGTAACAACGTACCTGGAGCGTAACTAATAAAAACAGGAGTCATCATGAAATTACTGCATAAATAAATCAAGGACATCCGTTCCGGATCCACGGGGATACAGTTGTTGACAATGAAAAAAGCCTACTTTGGAGGACAAAAGAAATCTGAAGAAAACTGAATGCACAAACACACAAATGTATTGATTACTTATTCTGTTATTCAAAAATATTCTAATGACTAACACTGCAAAAATGCATTTTTATAACGCATTCTGAATTCTGGAATGTATATATAGATATTTCAGATAAAACTAAAAGCCACTATTTCCTTTACTTGGTTTCTCCATTACAAGTTCACTACGATTTCATCAGAACAACATTTATATGACTGCTCCAAAAAGGGTTGCTACTGTGTTGCTACTGTGTATATTGCTACTGTGTAAATGTATATAAATGCTGGTACTGACAAAACCCCGTAATTCAAAATACTTACTATTGCCTACAAATTACTTTTTATTAAGGACTGAATACAGTTAATCTCTTGCATACACAACAATAAAATAATTGTTGTTTTATCGGCGCTCACCATCGACATCTACACCAGCGTGACCGCTAAGTAATTTATGACCACAAAAGCATTTTCTAATTGAGAAGTATTTGTGCAGCACCTTAACCTTTAAGCACAAATTGTGCTTAAAGGTTAAGGTTTTCTTTTTCCTCAGTTAACTGTGTATATATGAATACACGTAGTTTTACATACAACACGTACGTGTCGTATCTATATTATGTACATGCTATTACTTCTACTCCATGTAACGTACAGATGTTACAGTATGTTAACTGTAAAACTTTGAAATTGTTAGCTGCTATGTACATGTAATTAATAAGCTGATCGAAATTGTGCTTCCTTTGACGTGATGCCACTGGAAAACAACGAGCAACTCCAAACCTCCGATTCTCAAATACCAGACATTACGATGCAGTCTAAGGGGCGTTCCTTCTACATTGAATATAATACTGTAATATTATGTATTTCATTTTAGCATGCTGTACAGAAGGTCGCCGCATATTTAAGCCGCTATTCCGCTGATCCAGGTCTTTGTATCGAAGTATTCTGCTTTCCACACTGCCTTTTCTCCGTGAACTCTTCAACCGTAGCGCATCCGAAGGAGTTTTTCTTAACAGTCAAACCAGTGCTTCCTAACGATGATCCTGGAAAGTGGTCTGATTTTTTTCGTCAGTGTGGTCGGCGTGTTTGGCCAGATCCCGTCGCCGAGTGCCCCGCTGAGTAATTTTTCCTACATTTCCGGTAAAGGCAACGTCCTCCTGGCCATCGATCGATCCGGAATCGTCAACCGTCTCGACAACGGGGCCTGGGTTGCATTGCCCGAACCCACGCCGCTTGTTAATGATGGGGACGTGGGATCTGCCAAAGCCGTTAGTGTGGGCGCTAGTCCGGATGGATGGCATCACCATGTGCACTCTGACGGGTCAAACATACCGCTTTAATCCAACCACCAATGCTTGGGAGTTCTCCAATAGTGGTCGCTGTCTGCAGGTGAGAGTAAGCTACTGTCCGGGAATGATCCATTACTGTGTATTATATTCCCTCACAAAAAGCACACTGACTAGAGACGAATACATACTGTATCTTTCTGATACAATAATGAAGATTTAGCCCGGATAGTCCGGCTTATGCTGTACTTATATTTGTTCGTGTCGAGTTCAAACAAAATGCAGTATTAGTCAGTCTTGCTTATTTAGAAAGCATCCAAAATATTTTGTAGTACGTTGTGCTTTCGAGGCATAAACCGCCGCATATCCCAAGAAAAATAACGTAAACGGAGATCTGAAAAACTACCACAAATATTAAGGAAATTTTTCTTTTTAGCCGCTATCGTTGCAGAAGCGTAGCGTTTTAATGGATGTATAAAACCATTTGCAGGTCAACGCCATGAGCAAAAACACCGCTGTGGAGATTCAGAGGCCGTCTGCACTGGACAGTAATGATGGAGATATCCGAAAATACAACGGAGCAGGCTTGATCCCTACATGGACCCTCGTGGCCGGTAGCAACCAGCGAGTGTTTCAGTATAGCAAATGGGTTAGTATCGGGGAAGACGGAGAGATTTGGACCATCTCTCGCAAAGGTAATGTGTTCCGCTACAACGGAGCTTCTAATAACTTCGACGGGATTCCGATTCTCAGCGCTATCGCGCTGGATGTGCGCAATGCTACATACGCTACCGTCGTCACCGCCGGCTGCAACGCGTGGACTTTCAAGAGCGGCACGTGGACCAAGTGGGCCATCAGCACCTGTCCGGTGCAGACCACCTCCACCAGCAGTAATGATTATTATTTGGACGAACACGGCAGATTTGGTTCGCGCCATTAAGTCTCGGTAATAATGGGGTCATGGCTAATGGTTAAAGATTGCTTGCTTGCAGTAGTGGAATGAAGTTTGTCGCTTTATCTTCGATATCCTACAACATTAATTATGCGAGTAATGCACATCTCGCAGTTGGCTTACAATTGTTAGCTTCGGCTAATTTGATTGATTTCCAGCTAATAAAATATGGAAGCAGCGATTGTCACGGGTTGACAAATTTGCCAAATTTATTCTGATATACAGAGACCTTTGTACTCTTGCAGCACCGAAGGGGCAATTTATAGATGAAGTGCTTTCCGAATTGCTACCCGTCTCAGCTGTAACTGCTACTCGCGTACTGCTTATCAAACCGTACACAATACAAATTATACAATAATCAGAAGTTCGTTTTTTGTAGTACTATTTTTTGTATAAAAAAATTTGGCTCGCACCGGATTGAACAACGGAAGCCTAGATAATTATGTAAACCTTCTGTAACATCCAAATGTTTTGTTCTATGGCGGAAGCTGGCGTTGCGATGAATGTTGCGGCAGCGAATGAGTCGCCGGCATTTTACCAGAAGATCGGAGAGAAGATTGTGCTACAAACTGGCGAGATTCTAAGCCATCACTTTGTCTACGAGTACCAGAAGCATTAATTTGAAAAATGACAGGACAGTGCTGTTTTTATACTGTTTTTATTGTATGGGTATTGTACGCATTACTCTAGTACTAAGGACACCATCACATAACAAAACTCAAAACAAGGAACTTTTTAAAAGAGGGAGAAATGGTATCTTAAAAGGTCAGCTTGAAACAAGATTATCTTATTAACAGAGGAAACAGCCTCCAGTAACATGCCTTTTGGTGACACGACTCACACGAGTACGTTTGTCATCTTCTCGATCAAATTCCGGTTCCTGGTTTAGTACGGGAACAGTCGGTCGAGATAACTTGAATGAACGAGATCGCCGTTGGCAATATGAAGCAAGACATCTCAAACACGGAAGAGTTGGTCAATGCCGTATATTGCCAATCGGCTCAATGTAGATACATCCAGCAGCCGCAAGTCCACCTCGTCCCACCCGCGCAGTGACCCGTCTGAGGTAAAGCCGCTCAACCTAAAACGCGTGCATAATAAGTGCGAATCTGCGTGTTAACCAGCTGCGTGAACTCTTTCCGTCTAACTCGACATTTTACAAAATGACGGTTTACACTCTTCCGCCCGGTTCGCACTCGTTTTCTTTCCGGTTGGCTACCGCCGCGCCCGTGATGCTATAGAGGATAGCGCATCTCCGACCACATAGTTTGTGTACGGGAACGAGCACAAGGGCATCGCGTGCATGTCCATGCATTGTACAAGCAGTGTACATTGCTGGTTTTCCGTACACAAACTCTGTGCTTTAAGACGTGGAGATTCCTACATTATGCGATTGTACCACGTAAACATAAACCGGTTTTGTGGCGGCTGCCGGCTGTAACCAGGTGGCCAACTGAATCCGAGAATGAAGAGAGAGCCCGGGAGACGGGATTTAATATCGCTCACCGGCACTCACTCCTTGTTGTGTTCGAGTCATGTGAGTAATCGTACCGCAGTCGAGAAGAGTAATAGGGTACAGAACGGCTGTTTGAGTAAAATCCTTATTCATACTCACAGGAAAAGGTAATTTCGAATGGACTCCCAATCCTCTGGATAGACCAGCGTGCGCACCCAGCGATTATGGACAGTCTTGACCTTTGCCAGCATGTGCTCAGTGAAGGGCGGGAAGTTGTCGTTGAGAGCGTGCATGAAGCGCGCGCTCATGCGCGTTCGGCCTTCGCTGCAGCGCAAGAGCAGCTGCGGGATGGTGATCTGCAGTTTGTCCATGCCTAGTTCGTGCGACTCCCGCGTTAAATGCACCATCAGGCCCTGCTCGAGTTCACGCAGGGGTCGGGCAGCCGGAGAGCGATCCCACTCGAATACTTGGAACGCTGCGGGGCCGAACAGGTCGCCTACGGTCCAGTTGTACAGTACAATGTTGTCGACCAGGTATTTGCATACCAAGGTCTCGAGCGCAGCCGGGTGTTTAAAGGGCGCATTATGGTACCGAGGAATCGGTTCCGGTCTGCGGCTAGTGTGGTCCTTGTAGACGAGAAACGGTAGCGGGGTTTGGTGGACGTCTAGCATGTGTTCAAGCCATTTGAACAAGATACCCACGTCACTAGGCGGGAGGAATCGCAGCACGGTCACACTGATGGTGTTTGGAGTGATGTATCGGCTCAAGAGAGTGGCCGCTTTGAAGCAGTTATCGCTGTCGGACTGCAGCTGCCAACAACTCTCAAAAGAGATGCTGACGTGCTCCACCATGCGGGCACTGTTCAGCAGCAGCTGCCACAATGCGCACACCCTGTCGCAAAAGGAATCAGTAGATACATAGATGATCAAGCATTGCGTACGCTAGAGATTGCAATTATATCTGTTACCGTTGGGCCCTCATTTGGGAGTGTACATCCAGATGGGCTAAGATGTCGCTCAAGAGCCAAGGCGTCAGCTGAGCAAACGGCGCGCTCGTTAGATATGCATTGCTTTCCAGCCCTTTAGCAAGACGACAGTTTGAATCTTAGATAGTTACATTGAAAGTTCCAACTATTTCATCGAGATTATTTTTAAATTTCGGTTTCTAACGCTATAATTGAATTATTATTGTTGCTTCAAAAATTCCAGGCACGATTATTGACAGTGGAAGTGAATTTCATATGTTTGGTGGTAATCCGGCGCTAAACGTGAGATCGTGGTTTCACAGTGAGTTAAGTGGCAATTAACGCATCACTAAGCAGGAGCAACATGTGCATGCTTAATGCTGTACAAGCAGAAGCACAAATGCGGGATGAATTTTCTTTCGCACCCGAAGTCCGCTACTAAATCAAAGAACTACGATAAACTGTCATACAGTACTAAGCTACTAACCGGTTTCCTGTAGGAGGACAAAACGATTTCGAATGGACGGAAGACTTGCCCGGCTGGCTAAATGATTCTGCAGTGCTTTCGTCAACGTGACCTCCGTCGCCTGGGCAGTTTCGGCGTCACTTGCGAAACTCACGATAACAAACATACAACCTTCCCGCTCGACGCGTAAGTGAAAACGACAGCGATCAGGCGGACGCGGCCAGACGGATGCGGGTGGCGGTCTGAAAGCATCGCGCAGATGTTTTATTATGCGGAATTTGTCGGATGCTTCGCTGAGAATCGTTTGCGCCCCGGGAAAAGGAATGAAGTGTTTGGTGTAAAGCCGACCGGTGTGACACTCCAGTAACTAAGGATCCGATGGCGGCCAGTAAGCGGCAACTTGACCTTTATGAACCATTTCAGACCATGTGGTGACAATGGTGTCGTTGCCGGGAGGATCAAACAGTTGCGTTGTGATACTAAACATTTCACAGGAGTCTTTGCAGCTTTTGGATGTATGCAGCACTGTGGCGGGTCGAAAGCGAAACGGTCCGCCGTCTTCATCACGCAGTGCCACTTGTAGTTGTAGTTGTAATTCCCTGATCTTGTAGCTGAAACGATATATGTCTGTCTCCCAGTAAAACGGCAGCAGCCAGACGCTTCCCATGTGGATCCATTTCGCCGTGACCTTTGCAGAGTCAAAGTGAATGAGTGCTTGGTCGCCCTTGATGTCTTGGATGTATCCCAGCCACCACGTGTCGTCACCGTTGCGAACAGCAACCGTGTTCTGGTAGCCCATCTGGTTGCCATCTGCTAGCAGCGGTCGGTACCGCGGCATCACGCCCCAGGGCGAGTCATATTGACCTGAAGGAATCATCCGCTTATCATAGGAAGTACATAACAGAACGTTTACAACAGAACGTTCACAACACTTGGATAAATTCTATCAGTGTCGAGTGTCGAGACCGGCAAGACGCTGCAAATGAACCCAAATTCAAAATGTCATATCAAGATTCGAGGTAATCATGCATTATTGCTGAGCCTGTAGATTTGCCACCAAAGGGCGAAAAAAAGACAGAGATAATTACGTACTAGTAATGGTTTGAATGGAAACTGCACAAACGCAATACACAGTGTGCTAGTATTGTAGTGCATAGCGCATACTCCGCACGGACGTCAGCTGATACTGTACAGATTCAAAAATTCATGTTCCCACAAAGCGGTAAGAAACAGGGTGTTGCTTAGATTAGCATCGTGGTTAGATCAATAATTAGACCGAGGAGAACCTTTCTTAGATTCTAAGATGCTGATAAGGTTCTGTGGTGTTGGTATAAGTTCAAAGTGTACTTGCATGTACGATGCGATACTTCGATATTTTTTCGTGATTCTTAGATTCCTAAATTCTGGTTTCCTGTTAACAGCTTCTGCTGTTTCTATCCTGTTTCTTAGCTACGATCCTTTCCTTTTTCAGTTCAGTTGCTTCTTGCTATGATCCCAATCAGCTGATAAAGTTACGATACATCAGAATTTCAGATCTTTCATATCTGTCGACTTGTCGACCGTATCCAACCAATGTCGACCAACCCAGCCATTAACAGAAAATGGAACAAAACTTTACGGATTTGTTATATCAACAAAGGGGAGGAGGAGGTGCAGAAGGCCTCTCATTTACTCACACGAAAATCGGTCCAAGTCGGTATTTTCGATAAGAGCCCACTGTGCCACAAAGTGTACCGCATAGTATGCCGCAGACTAAGCGGTCTACTATGCCGCTTAGCCAAATATTTTACTAATTCCGATTGGCTCGCTCAGACATGCACGGCCCATTCAGCTTTCGTACGTACACATCTACAGCGCGCTGCGTGCACAGCTACAGCAGTCTGCAGTACCCGTGGCAACTGCAACGTCTGCTAACATTGTAAAGACTTGGAAAATTTCTGAGTTCAAAACTATGACAAAATTATACTGTATCGAGGCATTACGAAAGCTCTAAGGCATAAAATCGAACTGGCAGCCTGTACGATGACGTCACGGTGGAGGAGACCGATCTTGCGAACTCCATAGGCTTGCACGCTCTTTGCGTTCCAGCAGAACGAAATTTC